CAGGGATCAGGCACCTACTGTGTTGAGGCTGTCCTGCAGACTACCTCCCCTCGCCAAGGTGCCAAGGTGGGTTCCTAGGATGCATTTGGCTGCCGTTTAGACGTGTGGAAAGGAGTATAGCTTAGATTGAATGTAGCGTTGAGTGGTTTTAGTGTTCCTGGTCCGTGTTCCTTGCAGTTCAGGAAATTGGAAAGCACGAGTCGACTAGAATTAGGGCAAGAGCAATCCTATCAACATAACTATTTTCTCCTAGGTGCTGGTATTGGCCAATGGAGCTTATGGGCGTCGCATGGGTCAGATGTGTGCGTGGGCGGGCTTGGAGGTGCGACTGGAGGAGTTCCCTGAGGATCAGCGTCTCGACTTGGCCAAGGTACGGACGCTCTCACTTTACTCGAGCAAACCGTAGAAGATCATAATTCCGTGAATGTGAAAGTATGAAAATATACAAATATACATGCGTGTGTGTATGAAAGAGACAGAGAACCACTTCAATTGCCTGTATCTGGATCAGAGCTCCTGCTTCAATAACTCCACCTAATCCACATGCTGTCTGTAGATGGAAACCCTTTTGCGGAACGAGTCCTTTACTACAGTGGCCGTCGTCCACTGCGAGACTTCCACAGGAATCATAAATCCTGTTGAAGACGTGGCTCGCCTCGTGGCATCGCTCCAGCCTGGTACTGTCTGGACGCCAGTCGATCTGCCTGTCTCTCTGTTGGCTTGTGTTTCTGTCACGAGTTTGATTCTATGGACTTGTACTCCATCCACTGCCAATGTTATTTTCATTGACTTCCGCGACATCTTTTAAAACTACTAATTTGTTATCAGCCATTTGATTTATGCATCATTGCTTTTAACATTATCTTCCTTTTATGTACACCTGCGGACAGTCGAGATCTTCAGTCGATACTAAGAAAAAATAAGGTTTGTTTAAGTTTGTTTCCCCTCCCAGGAGCGGCTATTGTGGTGGACGCCATGAGCAGTTTCGGCGCGGTGCCCTTGGACATAAGCGGATCAGGGATAGATTACGTTGTCTCTTCGGCCAACAAATGCCTGGAGGGCGTCCCCGGCTTCTCCTTTGCCATCTGCAGGACGAAGCATCTGCTTTCTTGCAAGGGTTAGATTCGAATTCTCTTTCTCTTTAATTTTTTTTTCTTCCTCACGTGCCTTCGCCCAGATTCTGATGGATTTATTTCCTGTGCTTATTCCATTTTATGCGTCACTCATATGACCTTGCATCTCAACGCCTTCACTTTCGTCTTAAGCTGGCTGTGAGTTGCCCTCTCTAATTCCAAATACATATTGCTGAAGTCATACAGGAGGCTTACGGCGTTGGACAAATGGTTACCCACTTACCCAGCAATACAGCAATCCAAAGATCAAATGCTTTGGGGTACAACGAGCAAAAGCTGGTCTACTAAAGATGCCTTTGCTCCTCACCACTCACCCTTATTCGCTGGTTTGACGTGGCCCTCTAATGCCCCTTTGTCTCCAGGTAACTGCCGCGTGCTGAGCTTGGACCTGGTGGATCAGCACTTGGCCTTAGAACGCTCGGGCCAGTTTCGCTTCACGCCTGCCACGCACGCCATGCTGGCCTTCAGACAAGCTCTTCGAGAGTATGCTTCGTCAGGAGGACTCGAGGGGCGGGCCAAGAGGTGAGGCTCTCTGTCTGTTCTTTCACTTCCTTTCCTTTATCATTTGTACTTGTCTTCTGTGTTAGCGGGTTTTGCTGTTGCTAATATTTTCTGTTGATTGGTCTGTATTTGATTTTTTTTCTTCCTTCTTTTACGTGTGTGATATTGAGGTTTGTTTACGAGTTCTCTTCAGTTGTCTGTTGTTGTTTTGTTTCTGTCTCTCTCTCTCTCTTTATTCTGTTGTTTTCACTTTTTCGTCCTTTACTTGTCAGTTGTACACTTTTATTACGTTTTAGTCTTTATCTTTTACATTTTACATTTTATTCTTTGTCCGTTTCTGTTGATTTATTATTATCATCATTATTGTTATTAAATCTTTTCAGATATCAGGAGAACCGCAGCATCCTGAGGGAGGGGATGAAACGCCTCGGCTTCAAGGAACTGCTGAAGGAGGGAGATGCCGGCTACATCATTACTTCGTTCCATTTTCCCGAACACGAACGCTTTGATTTTCCCAAGCTTTATTCAGAGCTTTCGGACAAGGGTGAGTGTGAGCGGGAAGAGAGGAAACAGAGAGAGAAGAGGGAGGGAGAGGGGAAGAAATTGAGAGAGAGAGAGAGAGAGAAGAGAAGGAAGGATATTTAAAAAGCAAAATAGTGAGAGAAAAAAGACTAAAGAAAAATAAGTGGAGAAAGAGGGAGATGAGATGAGAGAGGCAGGATAGATAGAGAAAGAGAGGATGAGTGTCAAGAATAATGACAATAACAATGGATAGCATAAACACAAACAGAATATTATGTGTATGTATATATATATATATATATATATATATATATATATATATATATATATATATATATATATAC